CCCCTCTCAACTCACCATCAGTGGCGACGGGTCCCATTGTGCTCACAGTTGCCTTGGTGGACGCTCTGCTGGACGAGTGGGACACCACAGCTGGGATGGGCCCGACAGGTGCCGTATGCTTGTAGTCCAAGACACCCGACGACTTGCGAATAAACTGTGTGACCACTCGAGCGGCGCTGTGGAGCGAAACGTCCTCCACTGGGAACGGCCCGTGTGACCACTGCTGCGTCTTGCAGTCCTGCCGGATCATGACAGAGTCAACCAGGATCGATGGGACGGGCTCGTCGCCGAACACGGTGAAGGAGGACGAGGGAAGTGGCGGCTTGCTCGACATTGTGGGGAGGGAGTGGTTGGCCACGGAACAGCTCGGCTGCGAAGGAATCGAACAGGGGAGCTGCCGCCTCTGCGATCAGAGAGAAGGGAGAGGTGCGACCCTGAGCCGTTGGAGGTGAGCTGTGGTAGTCAGAGCATCGTGGATAGCGCGGAAAGACGACAGAGCGGGAGAAAAGAGAAAAGAGAACCAAGGGGGGAAGATCTGCACTCTATTTGAGCTCGCAAATTGACCAACCGTGATTGGACATGGCAAGCTCATCAGCTCACCGCAGAGCACGCCGAGGCCCGAAACATGCTGTTTACACAGCCATTTGCACTGCGGCATCGGAGACGAACGTCACCTGCCATGAGAAAGGTTCGTGTGTTGCGTCCATCGGCAAAGGCAGCATTTCGTGTGTGGTTGGTGGTGGATTGGGTGTCTGCAAGACGGGCCCTCGCGATGACTGCAATGCATTCAATAAGTGTGCAGCAAGGCATCTTGTTCAAATATCAAATGCTTGTCATGCAGTGTCTCCCTCTCTCTGTTTGTCCCATCCTGTCTGATTTTACGGATGCCCGCAGAGCCTCAGCTGGCGAGCAGTAGTTCAAGGCGGTTGCCCATTGCAGTGCTGCAGTGCACGTCAGCAACGTCCTCCATTCTTTGGCTAAAGAGATCCCTCTTCATTGTCCGGCCTCGTGTGTGTGTGTGTGTGTGTCGACTGTCAGCGGCTGTGTCCTCGGGCATGGTGGTCAGACTGAGGGAACTGGACAGATCCCCTCACCCTTGCCACCAGGCGCGAAGAATGAGCGCACCACTCAATCGACAGGAATGTCGACAAAGCACCATCCAGGCAGTCAGGCAGGAAAAACGCGGCAAACACGGCGCCAAACACACAGATGGACTTGCACCACACACATCACACGCCGCGCTGCCGCGCAGCAGCAGACACCCAGTCAAATGGCACTCACCCTGTCCGGTCCACGCTTAAACTGCTCTCTCACACACGACCATCTCACATGCACCCATCCATCCATACCCTCCTGCCCATGCCCCCTCGTTCGGTCCCTCAGTTGGCAGGCGCGTCATCGTTGTGGTGGCCCTGCCCGTTCCCGACCTGCCCGTTATTCCCGTCCTCTTCCTCATCGTCGTCCTCGAGGTCTATGGCGTTGTCGGCACTGCTGCCCGCCAGGCGATCATATTCGTCGTCGTCCTCATCCTCCTCATCGATGTAGCCGTCCTCCTCGTCATCGAAGTCGTCTTCGACATCGTCCTCGTCCTCGTCGACTGACTCGCTGGGAGAGGGCTGGCCCTGCCCGAAGGCAGCGGCGGGGGCGGGGGCGGCCACAGCAGGCGGGACTGCAGGCTGCTGACGCCTGAGTAGGCCAGACAAGCCTGAGGACACACACACAAGTGGACGGGCACATCACATCCACGGCGGATGTGTGGGTGGAGTGGGTGCGTGTGTATGACGCATGTACCTTGTGCCGGTCCTTCTTCTTCCTCCTCTTCTTCCTCCTCCTCTGCGCTGTCCACTTGGTCCGATTCCTCCTCGTCACACCTCTGCACACACGGACGGGGACAGAGTGGGCACATTCACATGGATTCATTCCATTGTCCTTTGTCCGTGCCCTTGCTCACCTCTTCGTTGGGCTGCAGCCCTGACACTAGATGCATGCCCATGCCCGAAAGTCCGTTGGCAGCCATGGAGGTCTCGCCAGACACAGAGGCAGACACCGGCGGCCTCGATGCGCCGCCATTCAAACCTCCATTACGCGGACCCTGAATGAATGAATGAACGGCAGAAGGACACATTATTCACATGATGTCTCCTTCATTGCTCTCGCTCACACCCACCTGGTTCACTTGCGGAACGCCATCCCTCGCCCCTCCTTGCCCAACCACCACCGCAGCAGCAGCAGGTGCGGGCGGCATGACCACGTCCTGCTCGGGGACAGCAGCCATGACCACGTCCTCCTCCTGGGCACCACGGCCAGCCGATGGAGCGCCAGATGGTGCCACGGGCGCAGCGGGCGGGTGCAGCTGTGTGGGTGGGGTTGGCTGTGGATGGCGCTGCTCTTCTGCTGCCATCGCCATTGGGGGAGGCTGCGCAAGTAGAACGAAACAAAGAAGAGAGCACGAGATGCAGAAATGGCATGGACGGGTGTGTTGTGTCTAGGTTCATTTACCTCTTGGGGCGGCGTGACGTCAGGCAGGGCAAAGTTGAGCACATCAGCAGCTGCAGCTGACAAACGTGGGTCGGTGACCAGCATGCCCACAAACGTGTCGAGGGACGCCAAGATGCCCCGGATCTCCTCACTCACCCTGCACACATCATCAATGAATGCCACATAGCAGGAAGGAAAGCACAAGTATATGCGTCCCGTCCCATGTCATGCAAACCAAACCATCATCCCTCTCTCCTTTTTCTCCCCGCTTCGCTTCGCTTACACCGCTCCACGCAGCGAATCCCGAACCCACTCCTGCAGACGCCTCTGCTGATCGGCGCTGAGGCCCCTCAGCTCGTCACCACCACCTCCCCTCGCCCCCCCTTCTCCCTCTCCCGTCCCTTCTGTCTGCACCTCAGCCGCTACAAAAGCATCAGGGTCCCTCGATGCAGGGAACCCCATTCCCACGTCCACGGTCCTGGCCGGCGCCGTCTGGATGGAGGCACTCCTGCTCCCAGCCCCCCCGAGGGGCGTCATGGTGCTCTGCTGCTTGAGCCACCAGCGCTGCTCGGCCGGCATAGCATCAGTCTGGACGTCTTGCTGGTCGATGGAGCCGGCCGCAGCCGCTGCGGCGGCTCCGAGTTGCGCGTCGGTCTGGAGTGGGCGGTGGACGGAGATGTCCGGGCCTGATTGTTGGTCGGTCTTGGTGGGCGCCTGCTGACCGAGCCGGTGCCTCCAGTGCTTCAGGAGGTTGAGCTGACCGAACAGAGGAGAACCATCCCATCACAGGGAAGAGGCAACGAATAGACCTGTGCATGCATGTCGGTGTTCCGCCTTCCCCTTTCCTCACCGTGACAGGCGGCTCCGGTGCCCTCATCTCGGCGTCAGGGGCCTGCATCCGGCCCACCGTGTCCGGGTTGCCCCTCGCCCTCAGCTGTTGCTCCACTCGCTCCATCTCCCGCGCCTCGCGAGGCGACATCGGCACGTGAGCCACGGCAGCCATCAGCTCCTCCTCGGACGTGTAGCGATGGTACGTCCACCCGCTGTCGTTGCCGTTGGCCTGGGGTGCGGGAGAGGAAGAAAAGAGCGGGCCGGGTGGCATCGGCGGGCCATTGGCGAAGAAGCCACCACCAGGAGGGACCTGAACCGATAACAAACATCAGAGAGAAGAACATGAGTGGGTCCTGTGTGTGAGTGTCTGTCTGTGCGTGTCGTGCGGTATGCGATGCGCACCCAGGGTGGGGGTGGTGCTGGCATGCTCTCGTTGACCAGTGGCTCGTCGAGTCGTCGGGCAGAGGAAGGGCGGCGTCCACCACTGTCCTCGTTGCCGCCATTCGACTCCCGGAACGTGTCGTAGCCGCGCTTCATCTCGGTCACAAATGTCGCCTGGCAACAATTGTTTAGGGTCTAGGGGTTTTAGGGTCAAGGGTTTCTGCGCGCGTAAACTCTCGAGCGCGAGCGGATGGCTTCTCAGCCCTTGGTGCAAACCTATGGAGCAGGTAACCAATAAAGGAAGGGCCGACAGATCTCTCATGATTGCATTGCACCGCCCTGTGTGTGTGTTGATGCCCTCCCTCCTCACGTACTGACAGGTCCGTTGCCAGAAGTTCAGATCGACATCAGCAGATGGCAGAACACATGGTTCTGACGTCGCCTGCAACCGGGCATACAGGCTTTCATGTGTCTTTCTGTTCTGGCCCCTCACAGGTCTGACGGCGTGTTGGACTGTTTCAGCCATTGGCCGTCTTGCTTGGTGACGTTCTTTGGCTTCGGATGGCTCATCAAGGCCATCTCGCTCAACCGCTCGGCCATCCTCAAGCTGACATGGGGACTGGCCATATTCGGTGGGCGCCACACGAGCAAGGAAAGTGCGGTGCAGTGCAGTGCTTTTCGTTTCTGTGTCGCCATGGTTCTTCATTCATCCGTCCGTCCAGGGCTGACGTGGTTGGCGTACTTCGTCTTATCAACCACCGGTTCCATCCTCCGCAACCAGGAAAGCGTCAAACCGCCATCCATCCATCCATCCATCCCTTCATCTGTATGTGTCTCTGCTCGTCCACACACACACAGGTGCGGATGGATATCGCTGACAAGGAAGGCGGCATAGATAACGTGACTGAGGATATGCTCAATGCGGTCAGCACTACACCAGAGAAGGGAAGAGAGAAAATGGATTCCCCTCTCTCCTCTCTCTCTCTCTCTCTCTCTCTGTGTGTGTGTGTTTGTGTGTGTGTGTCAGGAGGTGTGGGAGCATCATCCTGCCGTGGTGGCGTTGGGGTTTCTCGCCGGTGCCTTTGCGGTGGCCATGATCCTACTCAACTGGTACTACCGCACCAAGATACGAGAGAAATACCACATCCCGCCCACAGACTGCGCAGAAGGTCAGAACAGCACAGCACTTACTGCCAGGGCAATGCGGGCGACGTGTGCACATTGTGTTGTTGTTGGTCTGTCTGGCTGGCTGGCTGCAGACTTCTTCGTGGTGTGCTGCTGCATGGGGTGCTCAGTGTGCCAAGGTACATGACGCTGACAACGAAGGACTCTGCAGCTTCGATGAATGTGTCTCTGCCTCCTTCCTGCCCACATTCGTCATGTGTGCCAAGAATACCGGTAGGCTCACACACCCACGAAACGACACGACATCTGCCCGTCCCACGCCTCCGTCTGCTTGCCTGCCTGTCAGTCACATCTATAGGTCGGCTGGGCAGATTACTGACATGCCCAATCTCACCGAGCAGCCTCCCGACCGCCTCCATACCGTCGGAGCCAAGATATTCAGAGGGCCGCCCGCGTGCTTCCCCAGAGAGTATCACGTGCAGGCGTAGTATGCCTCTGCCTCGCCATACTGATGGACTGACTCATTACCACCACACCACCAGAGTAAGCCGGGACACTTTGCGAACAGAAGACACGAGAAGGGGCTGTGCTGTGGTGTCATTCATGTATGGTGTTTGTGCGCTGCGCAGAGGGGATGGATGCAGGTCAGGTGTACAGGTGGCGGAAAGGAAAGGCGGTGGTCGTGTGGCTATCATCGATATTAGCCAGGCAAGGAAGGCCTTGTGCATGCGGATTATTGACTGGTAGACAGACAGACACACAGACAGACAGACAGACATATTGTCGATGGGGCGGATCGGATCTATCGGACTCAAGGCATGTGTGTGTCGATGGCATCGTTATCTTATGTATCAAATCAAGTCAGTCAGTCTCATGGCCACGTGCCCTGCCCATGTCCATCAGCCGTTTCGCCCTCCACCGGACGGACACATACGTACCACCCACCCCCTGGCTAGAGCGAGAAGAGGTCAGTAAGTCGGTCCTCTACCCGCCTATGCCGCCCCCCCCCCCCCCCCCCCCCCCCCCCCCCGC